ACAAAAACCAAACACACACACACACACAAAGTCAGACCACATTAAACAAAACACAAACCATGATTAAATGTTACCAGTTAAATGCCTTTATATATTTATATATTGTCTTCTAATCTTTATCAAGCATGTAAAAATTTTCAGTTGCATCCATGTCATAATGGTATTTGGAATTTTTTCTCCAAATTCTGCTATAAACTCTACTACTTATATCACAAGCCCTGTCTGTCTGTCTCTCAGTCCTGGGGATTAAATCCAGGGCCTTTGCCCTGAACTACACCCTCACCCCATTTTTAAAATTTCTTTTTTTGAGATAGGGTCTCACCATGTAGTTCAAGCTAGCCTTGAACTCATTTTGTAGGCCAGACTGGTCTCGAACTCACAGCAATCTTTCTGCCTCAGCCTCCCAAGTACTGGGATTATAGGCATGTGCCAGTATACCAGGCTAAATTTCTTATTTTGAGATAGGTCTTGCTAATTTGCTAAATTGTTCAAGCTGTGCTTGAACTTTCAATCCTTCTTGTGGAGGACCACCTGAGCAGCTCTCCTTGAAAGAAGAGCGGTTGTCTCCATTTTGACTGAGCCTGACCCTATTTCCTCGTATTGTTCTGTACAGAGCTGGCTAGGACTTCTCTTTATCCTTCAATTGGCCGTAAGTAATGCATATTGGTCTAGCTGAGGTGCTGGTGATAGTCTTTAAAGGTGGCGTGCATGTTTCCCTGGTAACATACCTGCTGCTCTTTAATGTGAGCCGGGTTGAGACAGGACAGTAGAGCTCATGCTCTGTAGCACCTGCAGGGATCGAGCCTCGAGACAGAGGCTATGACTTCCTGGGGCTTGAAAGGCTACACCAAAGCTGAAGCACCAGACTTACCAAAACATTAGATACTATATAATGCAGATTACTCTCTCTGCATAGCCTCTCTGCATATTGCAGAGGTAAACTGAGGCCACACACCTAGCTCAGCTCATAGTAGTCTCTTTCCCACAGTTCTCAGTCAATCCTCAAGCCACTCCACCACTGAATAAAACTGGGTGAGGCCCTGGGTCAAGCGCTTGGTTCCAGAAAGCCATCTTAGTGGCCGGATTTAGAGCCCCTTGACTCCCTGATGATTGAAGATATAATTTATTAGTGTCTTTTTTTTAAAATTTTTTTAAAAAATTTTATTTATTTTTATGTGTGTGTGTGTGTGTGCGCATGTGTGGCCAGCTCAGCCCACCAGGGGGCGGCCCTGGCTGGCATGCGGTGCTGGGGATTGAACTGTGGTCCCTTTGTTTTGCTAAGTTTGTTCTAAGTAGGTGCTTTAGACCACTGCACCATCTCACCAGCCCCTTATTAGTGTCTTTATTTTCGCCATGGGTAGCATTGTAAGTGGTAGATTGGAATCAATTTGATGGGATTCCAATAACGTAACTTTGGGATTACAAATATTGGCTTCTTGGACCGAGATGAGGACCTGGAAGTGTCTCCTACCCCTCCTGTCTCAGCCTTCCAGAGGGCTGGGATGACAGCCACAGCACTAAACCCAGATTTTGCTGGTTTTATTGAGACAGTCTCTGTGTAGCCTGGTCTGGTCCTGAGCTCCCAATCTTCCTGTCTCAACCTTGTGATTACAAACCTGTGCCACCACACCCAGCTCACAAATCCTTTTGCACACAACAAGACAGGGGAATTCTTTACACTTTACCTGTACATAGTCTCCCATTCTAATCACTAAAGCAGAAATGTAAATGTTAAAGACACCCTCAAGATGCTGGAGGAGATGAGAGATTTAGTGCTACAGTGATGCTGTGTGGAATTTTTTTTTTTTTTTTTTTTTTTTGTGGAACTGGGGATTGAACTCAGTCCCTTGCACTTGCCAGGGAAGCGCTTATTCTACTGAGCTATCTCCCCAGCCCTGTGGAATGTTTTATCAAGGAGCTAATGTCAAGTCCTGGACAGGAGAGGAACACTTGCTCATGGAAAAAGACAGGGAAGAGAAAGCACAGTAACATCTGGTCTTTAAATGAGCTGCCAGGTAACCAGGGTTGTGGGAAAGCACTGCAAAAATTGTCTACCAGAAAGAAAGGAAGTAATGAAGGATGGAAGGAAGAAAGGAAGGAAGGAAGAAAAGGAGAGAGAAAAAGGAAGGGAGGGGCCTGGCTTAGTCCATATAAGAATAACAATAACATAATATTTTTCTATATTCAAGGATCAAAAAGGGAAGCCTTTGGACTTGATATGCAGCAAAATAGTTGAGGCATCTATGTCTGATAGTAAGAAATGGTGAACCTCAAAAGTCACAGCAGCAGGGCAGGGTGCTCTCCTCTCCTGGAGGGAAGGGAAACCACTGATCTTGCAGGTGTAAACGTCTGTGGGAACCACTGCTGGCGAGAAAAGAAATCCACTGTGTGCTCTATGCTAATGTATTTTACACTAAAACAAAATGTACGAGGACTTCAATCTCCAGTTCTGAAAAAAAAAAAAAAAAAAAAGTACTAGGACTTCTGGGGGTGGGGAGACTGGAGGGAGGAGCAGCTGTTCAGCACTGATGCCTTCGAGGCCTGGCAGGACACTGCCTGAAGAACCACCCAAAGCAGGTCTAGAAGGAAGTGCTAGTCCTGAACCTGGTCCTTCTAAAGAAATCCCTTACACCTGCCTGGGAACTGGATGTCTATGGGATAATTATTTTTTTGTTTGTTTCTCGAAACAGGGTTTCATTATATATTCCAGAATGGTTCTGAACTATGTAGCCAGGCTAGCCTTGGACTGGTGGTGAGCCTTCTGCCTCAGCCTCCCGAGTGATGATTACAGGTGTGCGTCCTGCCTGGCTGCGCTTATGGAATTAACATCAGTGAGATCTTTCTTTACTGGGTGCTTCACTTTGAGCCTTTCTCTAGAGTGACTTCCTAAGGGGACATTAAGTAAACAGAACCCTCTCCATTTTTGTACTGAGTAATGAGACAAATGATGTGAAACATCAGGTAAAAAAGAAATAAATATTAAGTAAGCCACTCCTAAACCATTTAGAATGTGTCAAGATTAGTGTGGATGTCAAAGCCCATTTAAGGTGCAGTCTTAGGTACTTGAGAAAAAATGACCAGAAGACAGATCTACGATGCTGAACAACACAGTCTGGTTTAGACCAAAGGATATTTGTTCATGTCTACATTATCTAAACCAATTATTAAAAAGAAGTTGGAAACAAAGTCTGTGTGTAATAGGGATACTTAAATAAGCTGTTTTGAAAATGTTAAAAAATTAAAATTGTAGAAAGTCAAACTATAGGTGCCACGTTTTGCCTGAAGTAAAAATACCATCTGCCTCAGTCTTTTAGCAGCATGCTTATTTCAAGTAGCTGTACGCTGAACCACAGGCATACGCTCAACTCCAGCTGGGGAAAATACACAGACACTTGGAGATGTTTTTCTTTTCTTTTTTTTCTTTTTTCTTTCTTTCTTTCTTTTTTTTTTTTTTTTTGTGGAACCGGGGATTGAACTCAGGCCCTTGCGCTTGCCAGGCAAGTGCTTATTCCACTGAACCATCTCCCCAGCCCTTGGAGATGTTTTTCTAAGCAGGAGTAGTCAACATATTTGTTTTCTTCTAGACATGTATGTTAGTTACCATAGCAAACCAAGTGCTAATGTGTCCGAGAGCCTTCTCCACCAGTCTCAACGCACACGCAAGAATTCCTACAGCTCAACAGGTGGCACTCTTTCCTCTAGCTCTGAAGGGAACAAACTTCCCCGGGCTCCAGCCTAAGAAGCAGGAAGCCTCTGAGACACACACCTGGACTACAGACCAGTTGTAATTAAGATCTCCATTGCAAAGCTATTAGCGCCAGCTTTGGGGACACCATTCACTTCTGGTAATTATGTTCCACTGAATAAAGTTTTGTGTGCCATTTTAACTGGGCAAGTAAGATGCTCTTTGTTTTCCAGCCTGAGAAGCTAGAACTGCCATACACAGTTAAACAGATTCCATCCTCATCCAGTCCTTGGGTGGATGGGCCTTGGCAGTGGGCTGAGGGACTTGGGTGCTGTGTCAGCCACCTTAAGAGGATGGGAATTAATAGTTGTCACAGTGCATTGCTGGCTTAGGAAGAAGAGCATGACAGCAGGGTTAAGCATTCATATCCTGTAACCACTGCATCAGGAACTGAATTTCTTGAGTGTTTTGCTGAATGTGACAGACATTCTGAAGATCCGGCAGAGACTGATTAAGGGATGACCATTTCTTTTGATTATTTATTTATTTATTTATTTATGTGTGTGTGTGGCCAGCTCAGCCCACCAGGAGGCGGGGCTGGCTGGCATGTGGTGCTGGGGGATTGAACCGCGGTCCCTGTATTTTGCTAATCTTGTTCTAAGTAGGTGCTTTAGACCACTGAGCCATCTCACCAGCCCTCTTTTGTTTTTCTTTTTTGGGATGATCATTTCTTTTATCTCTCTCCTACTTCCTTGACATCTGAGACTCAGGAGCTGGGTGTGGTGGCACATCATATAATCCTAAAATGCTGGGAGGCTGAGGCAGGAGGATCACAAGTTCTAGCCCAGTGTGGGCAACTTAGTCACTTGGCATATCTGTCTCAAAATTACAAAAAAAAAAAAAAAAAAAAAAAAAAAAAAAAAAAGTGACAGCATAAGGCCATAGTGCATTTCTATGGTTTCATGACATCTAATTTTTCAGATAAAATATGGCTTTTGAGTAAATATTCACCATTTGGAAAAAAAAATTTTAGCAACAAATTTCATCAAAGTCTCCTGAAATGGCTGCTAAGTTTTTCAAATATCTTACAGAGAACTACCAGAGGCACCCACAGCCACCAAGCACGATCTGGCATTAGTTAGCATGGGCAGCACGAGCAGCGATCACAGGACCGAGAGGGGAGACCTCAGGTCTTTCCTGGTACACGTTGCTGTGGCTCACAACGTGCAACAGAACAAGACAGAGAACTGCGAGCTGTACCCAGCAGGCCTCCCCTAGTCCAGGCAGGAAGGATATGATCTTTTCCCTGTGTTACTTGGATTTAAGTCTGTGTAAGGCTGACAAGGTCCAGAGGAGTTACTGACATCAACCTGGAGCAGCTGTGCAGTGCCTTTACCTGTTGGAATAGCGCTGAATATTCAAAGGGTGGGCTTCAGTTTACAGGGATAAGAAAATAGTCACTGTACACCCACGTGGGGAGGACACTGTTCAGTTTCGCAGGGACAACAGCTAACGGATTCTTCATGGTGGCTTGTCTGAGTCTATAACTGTTGGCTGCACGCCTCTCACCACCTTCTGTATTTCTCTTGACCCTAATGCAATGCTTGCACATGTACATTTTGTCAAGCTCTACTACACAGAAGAATGTGGCCACGATCAAGGCCACTCAGGCCCCTGCCTTTAGAGTTTTTACCTCCTATGGAAGAATAAAGAAATGAACAAGCAACAAAATTGAAGTGGTAAGTGTAGATTTTGATAAATATTAAGAAGAAAATGAGCGAAGGGCAAGTGGCTACTTTGGACAGGAAAGCCAGCCAATGGTAGTGTTGTTCACTGTGGTCACCTTACCATGAGCAGCGCCTCCAACGTAAGCATCCTGTAAGTACTGGTGGGCAGAGAAGGGATTGAGCCTGACTTCAGTGGTGTACGAGGTCAGAACATCTCCCAAATTTGGAATGGGCCAGAGTAGGACAGCGTTATGCTACACTGTCCAATTATACTGAGAAACTAAGGGATCCACATCAGATTTTGCAGTGAGTTGCGTGAGTTTTGCACAGTGGCAGAGCCCAGAAGCTCCTTTATTTGCTTTTGCCTTTTCCAGGAGGAATCTCTTGTGTTGTCCAAGTGCTTCTGTGATAAGGAGTTCTAAACATCCTTTGTGTCATAAGCAAGCACTGACATTCCATGGTCATGCTTTTTCTTTTCTATTTGTATGTCTGCTTCTGTTAACTACTACAGAAAATCCCAGCCTTTATTTTTAAACCAGTTTGTAACAATCTAAATAAGCTTCTTAATCTGTTTGTACTTGCAATGTATATCAAAACTTTCCTTTCCTCTGTGCACTAAGATGAAAGCCTTACACCAGTTTCCCCCTGTAGTTTACTTCTTACGAAGTTTCCTCCTCCTCCTCCTCCTCTCCTCCTCCCTCTCTTCCAGGGTTGAACTCATAATCTTGCACTTGCCCCACAGGCACTTAAGCCACAGAGCTATCTCCCAGGCTCCCAGTTTACTACTTGTGTCAATTTTTTTTTTCTTGTGGTTTGAGGACTGAATCCAGGACTTTGCCTATGCTAGGTAAGCATCCTACCCTGAGCAACATCCTCAGACCTTGTGCCTTCTTTTCTTACTCATGTTCTCTATCTACTTATTACCAACTACCAGGTGCAGGCTTACAAAGACAAAAAAGACACTGTCCTGGTCCCCAAGAGGCACAGTCTACAATCTGCCTTATAATGGATCACTGTGAAACAAAGGAGAAAGTACAATCTCTGAGAGAGGCCCAGCGTAGTAAATGAAGGAGGAAAACACCTCATCCAGTGGGGAAACCTAAGGGGCTCCATAGCAGGTGATTTGAAGCTTCACAGAGTGAGTGGGGCTGCAGATAAAGGGGGAACAGCCTCCCAAAGGGAGCAGAGTCTAAGTTGAGACACAGGAACAGGAACACTGTGTTTTATACCATGTGGTGCCGAGGGCAGGAGATGGGGCAAGAGCAGATTCTCCTGGTGCCAACACTGGGACAGAGAATAAAAAGGACCAAAGGTAAACACCATGGGGACACCCCCAAAATAATGGACTCTGGATGTGGCAACGTAGGCTTGCCAAGGACCAGGAGTGTGCCACTGGGATATGGGACCTGGTCAGTGGGGCAGGTTGTGTGTCTGTGCGGGCTCTGACAGATATATGGGAACTCTATACTTCTTGCTCAGCTCAGTTTTGCTGTGAACCTAAAACTGCTATAAAAATAGTGATGAAATAATGACAACAACAAAAGCAAATAGAAGAGGTGCCAGGGGAGGTTGTGAGCTCAGTTTCAGATGTGTCTACAGCATAGGTGTGGGGATAGGATAAGGCTCAAGCAAACACATAAGACGCGACGGAAATGGAAGTTCGGATGTGTCCTCTATGGGTGACAGATACAGAAGCTACTGTCCACTTTTTCTTGGAAGAGGTGAAAGTTTGTGATGCAGGCAGAAGGTGGGCTGGACCTTGGGAAGGAGAGTAAAGGCTGTGCAACTCCAAGACTCCGGTGAGCCCTGGAGAGGCTTGTGGGCTCGGGCTGTGTCCCATGGCAAGGAGAACCTTTCCAGGTCGGATACCTTGGGCCTGTCTCTGGAGTGCAGATCAGGGCAAGTTCACCGACATCATCCTGGCTGTTGCATCAATCACACAGCCAGCTCCATTAGCCAAGCACCTGCTATCTGTCCTGGGTCCCTGAGGGGAGGACAGAATCAAGTGCATCCACAGGCCACACTGATGCTGGGATGCGAACTCATGCAGCAGTTTGCAACCAGAACTGCGCATCAGAATTATCTGGAGGGGACTTTTTCAGAACACTCTAGCCTTTCCTGCCCTGCT